CTAAAAGATCAACAATATGCTACAAACAACATGACAAAGGCTGACATGCATAAAAGGGCTTGGACCCCGGTCATAACTGCTTTGTAGTTCTAGTTCTCTTCTTTTTTTTTGTTCAAGCTCATTCTGGATGACTTGTAGTTCCAGATGTTTTAAGGAGTTAAAGTGCATTTGGTTTTCAAGCTCACTCTTTGCATGCTGAAGTCCATTTGTAGCCAGCTCTAGATCAGATCTAAGGCTTTCTTTTTCTTCAGCTTCTTTTAAAACCCTTTGTTGGAATTTTGTGTTCTCTTCGCGTAACTGTCTGATTTCCTCAGAATAAGTAGTTGCGAGTGAATCATCTGCTTTTGCAAATGTTTTTTCTTTCATTACTGTTCTGTCATCTATGCTGTGACTAGGAGAGATACCCGCATAAGAATTCCAATGAGTATAAACTGCTAGTATATGCACAAATGGCAAAAATAAAGATCTATCTATCAATGATCTCGTTGTTTTGAGCACAGTCAGTAAAATTGTACCTGTGGACTCTTTACTTTGAACAGACAATAATGTGGGGTTTTGTTTTGTCCCCACCCTCAGTGGGGACAAAAAGCCATTTTACGTTTTCAAGAGATGTACTCTTACACTTATTTCATAATTTACTGACATCTTCTAAAGCTAAAGTATTGCTCCTAAACTATTTCACACACAAAAACATTTATTTTTAACAGCAACAACAACAATATTAATAATAATTTAAGTCCAAAAAGTGTACATAAAGAAGAAAGCTGTTACCTTCAGTGTCTTAATGTGTGTGGCATCTGTTGATCTAACATAGAAGCTCTTCAGGTATGGCTCAAACATGCCCTGTTTGGAGACAACACTTTAACAAAAAGACTACAAAACAAAAAAAACAGGACAAATGTTTAGTACAGGCAGCCTTACCTTCCTCTGAATGGACATGGTGGCAATGTTCTGCAGCACAATGAACTGAACCTCTCTGCACAAAAGAACAGAAAAACAGCATTAAAGACATGAACATGGTAATACTGTAGGCTGACCCTTATGAGTCTTATCAC